GTCTCTTTCAACTCTATGATTCTATGATTCTATGATTCTATGAATCCAAGCTGACCAAGCTAAAGCGGATGTATTTTGAACATATCATAAGACAGTATGATTCACTGGAAAAGACCATGCTGCTGGGGAAAGTAGAAGGCAGTAGGAAAAATAGGAAGACTGCATTACAGGTGGGTTGATCCAATCCAGAAAGCCAAAGCCCTGTGTTTGCAAGATCTGAGCAGGACATTTGATGACCAAGGCTCTTGGAGGTCTCTTATTCAAAAGATTGCCATAAATCAAAGTCAAATAATAAATGATCAATGAGGACTAGAAGCTTGGGAATCTCACTATGGCCATCCTTGATCCTGCTTGATTTCACTACTAACCTAACATATGGTTTCTCCATCCAAAGGCAATTGTTGGAGTCTAAGCCAAAGAAACCATCTCCAACCTTCTCAAATGGACAGCAAGTTCTTACTTTTTCCATCAGTCTTCCAGAAGTGAACCATGGAAACTGGCCCCTAAAGAGTCACACTGTCCTCTTGGGAAGGAGAGGAGGTTTTCCTTGTGATTGGTACTGCTGCCGAATATTCAAAGAACACAAGCTCTTGTGGCTTTAATTAAAAACTTTAATTAAAAAGCCTTGGGAGCTTTATTAGGCTTGGTAATTGATTTAATGTTCTTCTAGAGTTCAGTTAAAGTAGAATTTCTTCTTTCTCATTTAGGTTGCAAGAGACAGACAGGCCCCTTCCCAGGCTGGTGAATGTTATGTTCTCTTAACTAATATTAAAGGAATATGGTCCTGATATTTAGCTGAAGAGCCAAAAGTCTAAGAGTTTGGGTGCAAAGAAGACAAAGGGTCTTTCTTGAGATCAGACAAATTTCTTTTTCATGCAAGAGTGGTTTCCCCATCCCAGTGCCTTCCAGATGTCCCAGACTACAAATCCCATAGTCTCATAATAGCTGGATTTGAGATTATGGGATATGTCCTTGGGCAAGTCACATGCTCTCAGACTCAGGGGAAGGCAATAGCAAACCTCCTCTGAATTAGTCTTGCCAAGAAAACCCCATGATAGGGTAGCCAGAAGTTGGAAACAACCTGAAGGCACACAACAACAACTACAACAACAGTCCTACACATCTGGAGGTGCTCTCTGAGGTTGGCTGCATTATTTCCATAGTGTAGATGCACCCTTTACCTGCATCTCTACTTCAGCAAGCGTCAGATAAAAATGTCCAATTGCATCCAAAAGGGAAGGTAGACATATGTAAGACACCAACAAGATTTGGGCCAATAAATATTTTCTCCTATGATTTGTCCCAGTGGAATCACTAGGGTTGGTGTCACCCAGTGCAGTAATTCAGGGTGTCACCCCCATGGATCATCTCCTGTACAAGAGCATACAGAATCATTAGTAATGTTTCTCACAGGATGGCTATGAATGCCACCCTCCAAAAATGCCCCACTTCCCACGAGGATGACAATTCTGGAGTCACTGTCAGGGCTACTCCCCTTATAGTTCAAGTCCAAGTCCATCCTTATTATGGTCATAGACCAGCACAGGTTAAAAGGAGATACAGAATAAAAGAAGGTAATGGTAAAACCAAGGTAAAAACACAGGTTGAAAACAGTATTTAAAA